GACTCCAGAGTATTCTGGCCCTGTGGTGTTGGCAGGGAGCCTCTCCGGTGTTAACGGCGGCTTGAACCCCGGGGCAGGCCCTGGTCCTAGCCCGGGCTCGTGGAGCCGCTCCCTCGACCGAGCCCTGGAGGAGGCGGCGGTAACCGGGGTGCTGAGCCTGAGTGGCCGGAAGCTGAGAGAGTTTCCCCGGGGAGCGGCCCACCACGACCTGACAGACACCACCCGGGCGGGTGAGCGGGACGCGGGGCGGGGCCGCGGGGGTCCCCGGGGCCGGGAGGGACCCTGCCCCAGCGGTCCGCGCCCGGGGCTGCGGCCGCGCGAGCACAACACGGGAGGCTGCGCGCAGCATCCTCCCAGGGACCCGGAGCTGGAAGAGGCCTTTGGTCTCTTGAAAGCCCGCTGCCCAGCCAGCCCCTCTGTGCTCGGGTCCCTGCAGCCAGGGGACTGGGGGCAGGGCTGATTTTGGAGTTGGGGAATGTAGCGGGATTTCGGTGTGTATGGGTTTGTCCCAAACATTGTCACGGGACGTTCGAGTCCAGCACTAGCGTTTTTTGTTTTCAAGAGTTATTTGCAGTGTGTGTGTGTGTGTGTGTGTGCGTGCGTGTACGTACACTGTGTGAGTGTACATGTGTGTGTTCTCGGCGCGTGTGATGTGAGTTCGAACTCTTTTCTCCACCTCGATCTGGTTGTCTTACCAAAAGGACTTGTAAAATAAACAGCTCACCTTCAGGTTTCAATTCCTTTCCTCTCTTGCTCTGGTCCTCTTTAAAAAGTTGAAAGGAAGAAACATCTTTAAAAAGATAGATTGTCTACTACATCTGTATTTGCTTTTTCCTTTTAAAGCACTACTTTGCTTTATACATATGTTTCTTTTAGCACAGGAAAGGGAGGAAGGAATTAGGTATTATTTGGTTTTCTTAGTTGTGGGGAACAATGTCTGTTGATTGAGGTATTTGACATACTGTAATATGTTTTCTCTTGTGTTTAAAATATGGCTCACTCGGGGAATAGATTAAAAATCAAGTCTATTGGTATGTTACACAAATACAAAGGGAAAAAATGCCTTACAGATGTTATAAATATTTTTATATAGGGTTTTTCAACTAAAAATGTGCAGTCCTTTTTTTATATTCATCCACTTTATTTAAACTCTTAGTGTTAACACATTTCCTATGTCTGTGCACTCTTAAAGATTGATGTTACATATGATTCACCCATGTTGGAAAAACAGAACAGTTAAACTACTTAAAGAGACTATTCTAAAGAAACTTTTGGCCCAGGTGTGGTTGTGCATGCTTGTAATCCCAGCACTTGGGAGGCTGAGGCAGGAGGATCACTGCAAGTTCAAGGCCAGCCTGAACTACATAGCAAGATCCTGTCTCAAAAAAGAAAAGAACCTTTTTTTCTTTTTTCTTTTTTTTTTTTTTTGTCGGTACCAGGGATCGAACTCAAGAAACTTTTGTTATAGTGTAAAATAAAAGAAATCACATACCCACTCAATCATTTTTTGGAAACAGTTGTACTGAATATAATTTGAGTTTTTTGAGGTTTTTTTTTTTAGTAAATGATATTAAACTTCTGTTGCTAAGGTAAATATGAGCATCAACTTGCCTTTTATATGTGTTCTGCTAGGCAGCACCTGAAATTGTCATTCATACACCAGATTTCCTGATTGTGTTTAAGAGATGGCTATCTCGTATAGTGATTTTCATTAGTGAGTCATTTGAGTGTTACTACATTAAGCCTGAAGCTAAAAGACAAATAGATTATAGGACTGTATCTAGCTCATTACCTTACCTGCTTTTAAGTAGTTCTAGGAGCAACATTTTGAGTCTTTAAGAAATATTTTATTAACAAACTCAAGGACATTTATGAAGGAAAGTTAGTAATCCCAAGAAAGTTTTTTCTTTCTGTGCTCTGAATTTGTATGTATTTATTACCCACACTTTACACTTTATTTATTTATTTATTTATTTTGGTACCGGGGATCGAACTTGGGACCTTGCGCTTGTGAGGCAAGTGCTGGAACCACTGAGCTAAATCCCCATGTAGTTTCTATTTAAACTAAATGTTGTTAACATTTTATATGGTCAAAAAGTATAAAAAAAGAAAGAAGAAAAAAGCGATTACAAGGTATTTTATAACCTGTTAGACTAGATTCATTTGTAACATGTAGAAATATCACTTATTAAGTTTAAGAAATCTTTGGCAGACCTTGATAATTAGAACAGAAAGCCTCTAAATTGTTTTAAGCAGATAATTTATTTTTATTTTTTATTTATTTTTTATTTTTTGGTACCAGAGATTGAACTCAGGACCTTGTGCTTGTGAGGCAGGTGGCAGAACCACTGAGCTAAATCCCCAGCCCAAAGCAGATAATTTGTAATGGTGATGACATTTATTGAGTGTTCAGTATTTGTTATGTCTCATGTAAGTGTTTTAAACTACATTGCCAGGGTGTGGTGGCGGAAGTTTGTAATCCCAGCCCTTGAGAGGCAGAGGCAGGAGGATTGCTGTGATTTTGAGGCCTCATACTGAGTTCAAGACCAGCCTGCTGGACTACACAGTGAGATCCTGTCTCAGAAAACAAAAACAACATCAGAAAAAAGCCCTGCTAAATACACACAACAATATCGATTAAATATTATTACTCCCACATATTGAAGAATAACTCAGAATAGCTAGTATTAATGATAGAATTTCAACCCAGGTCAATTGAACTCTCTTCTCTCTGTTGTATCTTGGTGCCTCCCCATGTGCAAATAGATATTAATTTTTCTGTTTTTACAGGTAGTGAAACCAAAGATTAGAGCTGTTAAATAATTTTCTCAAAGACTTGTAAAAGGCAAGAGAGAGGGGGCATTAGCCAGGATTGTAGCCTTTTTTGAGGTAATTCCTAAAACCATAGTCTTCCTTTTATATCAGCTACTTGATGAATTCAGGTTTATGATAGCTAAAATGTTTTGCTTAGACTCTTAAGGAAAATTTACAGCCATCAGAATTGTCTTATGGACTGCTTTTCCATAATATATAAAATGTACACTGTAGAGCTGCTGTCCTTCAAGAGCTCACGTCCTAGGAAGCAGCATGTATTACTCATACTGTTGGTTAGATTTTATCAGGGACATTTTCTTGAGGTTTCTCTCCCGTTTGTTTTAAAAAGTGGCTCTTTTGGAAAAGGGAAATGTTTATTTAGGAGCAGGTGACTTGATCCAATGGATGGGGAAAATCTTAGAAGAAATCTCAGAAGGCTTCATGGAGCACAAAGGATATAACTTGATTTGGGTGAGGAGAAATGAGAAGGAAAGCCATCCCAGGCAGTGGCAGACAGCATGCAGAAAGCTATCAGAGTATAGGGGTGTTGGGTTAATTTTGCCAGTCCATTCTCCATTTTCCATTACCCTTTCCTCTGAAACAGTATCTCAGTTTCCCCAGGGAACCACCCCTCTTGTTATGTGAATCCTACCCTGTCAGAGGGTATGCACATTATTCATCTCTAGCTAATGGCCAATCAGTATAGGCCACTGCTATGGCCGCAGTGATTGTCAGAGAAAAGCACATTTTCCTCTCAATACATATGAGAGTTTATTTTGAATTTTTTGAACTATTGAGAAAGATACATTCTTTAAGCCCTGGAGTTGCTGAGATAATAGAATGTGAGCTTGAGCTGAGTTGGTGTGTGCCTCTCCTCATGAGTACTTGGGATGTTGAGGCAGGAAGATTGCAGGTTCAAGACAATTTAGTGAGACTGTATCTCAAAAAAAAAGTGAACTTGCTAATAAATAGAAAACAGACACCAAGTTCTGAGGGCACTGCCTAAACCTTGGGATCGATAGCTATGCCCAAAGTTAGTGCTATCCTTGGACTTCTAAATTATGTGTTTATTATGTATATAATATATTATTATGAGTGTTTATTATATAATGTGAGCATTTACTATATATGTGAGTGTTTATTATATATTATTATATGTATATATGTGTGTTTATTTTTTATTTAAAAAAATTTTTTTGAGACAGGATCTTGCTTATGTAGCCCAAACTTGCAGTGATCCTCCTGCCTCAGCTTCCCAAGTGCTAGGATTACAGGTGTGAACCAGCATGTCCGGAGATTTCAATATATTTTTTTTTGTTTTGTTTTGTTGTGGTTTTTTGATACCAGAGATTGAACTTGGAACCTTGTTCTTGTGAGGCAGGTGGCAGTACCACTGAGCTAAATCCCCATCCCTATTTTGTTTTTTGAGACAGGGTCTCGCTTTGTAGTTCAGGGTGGCCTTGTATTCATTATGTAGCCCAGGCCAGCCTTGAACTCACGGTGATCCTTGTACCTCTGCCTCCCGAGTGCTGGGATTACAGGCATGTGCCACCATGCCCAGCTCAGTATAATTTTTGATACAAAATAAAAGTGCTCACTAATAAAGTCAGACCGCTTTTGATGTTGTGGTAAGGCCAGTTTGGTAAGAAGAAATGATTGAATTAAGAGAATATTAAGAACTGCCTTTCACGTAAAAGAAACATAGATTGATGCTAGATTTAGAGATAGGTCAACATTTATTCAGCATTTATTGACTAAGGGACTTTGACAATTGTAGATACACAAAGAGGACCAATAAAATCCTTGCCCTCAAAAAAAATGAAGGGATCTTGTAGAGAAATAGATAGGTGTAAAGATTATTTGAAAGATATAATAGCAAAACATGTATTAAGCCTTGTGTTAGGTAATGGGGAGCAAAAATAAGGACAAGCCTCTTGAGTATTTAAAAATCTAGTAATCTAGTTAGGTGGCTGCAGAAATAATCAAAATCTATGAAGGCACAGAAATTATACTGGAAAATGAAAATATAAAAACCCCAATTGAACTTCTCAAAAAACTAGAAAGATGGTAATGTATTGCTAATAATAGCTAACACTGAGCTCTGTGTTCTTCAGCTCTCCATCACTGTGACAAAATACCTGAACTAGTTAATTTAAAAGGAGGAAAAGTTTAATTTGCTCTCCGTTTCAGAGCTTTCTTTCCATGGTCAGTTGGCCTTGTTATGCCAGTCCTGTGGTGGGACAGTACATGATGGCAGGTACCTATGGCACAGGTGGCCAGGAAGCAGAGAAAGAGGAGTGGGAAGGGCTGAGGTGCTGTTTGTATCTCATATGTCCCCCACAAGTCTCATGTGTTGAGAGATGGGCTTTTGGAAGGTGATTGAATCATGGGGATTAATCCACGAACGAGTTAATAG